AGATATTAGGATATGTTTATTGGTACATTGTTACATGTATTAGATATTAGGATATGTTTATTGGTACATTGTTACATGTATAAGATATTAGGATATGTTTATTGGTACATGTTTAGATATTAGGATATGTTTATTGTAATAAGATACAAGGAGATGTATATTATAATTAAACATTTATAGTAGTTAGATGTTAGGAAATAAGTATTGTAGTTAGATATTAGGATAAGTTATTGAAATTAGATATAAGGGAGAGTTTATTATGATAAGACAATATATATTACTTTACATTTGTATTACGTAGTATATCGATAGTTACCTTTGTTTTACAACAAAAGTCAACATGTCGGTCTAGTGGTTGTCTTCTGTAACAATCTTTTATTCTTGTAATTATTACAATATTCAATATTTTCCCCAACTGCACATGGCTATCTGAGGCGAAAACCCCTCACACTTGTATTAAACCTACAAGTAGATACGAAGATAAGAAATGATACGATGTATGTTTGTGCCCATGTTGTCTCGTTGAAGTACTGGTCGATCGTTCATAGGTATACATGTATCGACAACGCCCACGGAGTGTTCACTGGTTGGGTAGATGTATAGGAATGTGCTTTATGTTTTAGATGACCTGCCAAACCAGTGAGGACACGGTAACATCAACAACACTTGATCCCATCAACTCACAGGCGATCTCTTTTACGGAAAACAAGTGGTCAACAGATACCGACCACGAGAAAACTGTCTCTGGCAATACCCCTCATTCTGGTGGACCAGTTACAGTCGGTTACCGCACTGTCACTGACATAAACTCTGATCAAACGGACATCGTGTCAACGTCAGAAATAAAACATACCCATCTGTCAACGTCATTAACTTCACTGTCTGTTTTATCTACAACGTCGTCCTCAGTGTCGACGTCGTCCGAAGCGTCATCATCACTTCAAACGTCCCAAGCTGTCCCAAAAAGTACAGTCAACATAGTAACATCAGCATCAACAACAGAAACGACAGTATCACCAATAAAAGTTAGAGAAAAGGTTGGCATTGACGCAAATTCTTCAACCACACTGGATGTGAATGGTGTGAACAAATATACGCCTCCAACCAAACCGGATGTAAATGGCATGAACAAATCTACCGCCAAGCCGGAGATTAATGAAGTGAAAACATCTTCGCCTGTTAACACACTGGATGTGAAAGATATGAACAAATATATGCCTATTACCAAACCGGATATGAATAGTGTACACAAACATACCACTAAGCCGGATATGCATGAAGTGAAAGCATCTTTGCCTGGTACCTCACCGGATGTGAATTATGTGCACAAATCGACGGCCGACATCACGATAGATATGCATGACGTGAATAGATCCTCAAGTATCTTTTCGGAAGCAAACATTGGAAACAACAGCTTCCTTACAGCAAATATTGGAACGACACCGGAACTTAAAATGCGTCTTGAGGCCGTCAATAAAACAAGTAATACGGAAAGTGTATCAAAAACAATTGAGGCCGCCAACAGAACAAGTGATCCAGCAACAATGGAGGCCGCCAACACGACAGGTAGTTCGAGCAGTACACCGACAATGAACACATCCAAAACAACAGGTGAACGAACAACACTAGAGATTGTCAACAGGACAGGTAGTACGGGCAGTACACCAACAACACTGAAAACCTCGAACAGAACAGGTGAACTAACAACACTAAAGATTGTCAACAAGACAGGTAGTACGGGCAGTACACCAACAACACTGAAAAGCTCCAACAGGACAGGTGAACAAACAACAGTAGAGATTGTCAACAGGACAGGTAGTACGGGCTGTACACCAGCAACACTGAAAACCTCGAACAGAACAGGTGAACTAACAACGCTAAAGATTGTCAACAGGACAGTTAGTACGGGCAGTACACCAACAACCCTGAAAACCTCCAACAGGACAGGTGAACAAACAACAGTAGAGATTGTCAACAGGACAGGTAGGACGGGCAGTACACCAACAACACTGAAACCCTCGAACAGAACAGGTGAACCAACAACACTAGAGATTGTTAACAAGTCAGGTAGTACGGGCAGAACACCAACAACACTCAAAACCTCCAACAGGACAGGTGAACCAACAACAGTAGAGATTGTCAACAAGACAGGTAGTACGGAGAGTACACCAACAACACTGAAAACCTCCAACAGGCCAAGTGAACCAACAACAGTAGAGATTGTCAACAGGACAGGTAGTACGGGCAGTACACCAACAACACTGAAAACCTCCAACAGGCCAGGTAGTACGGGCAGTACACCAACAACGCTTAACACTGCCGGTAGAACAGGTGATCCAAAACCACTGGGGGTCATCAACACGACAGGAAGTAAGGACAGTACACAATCAACACTGAAAACAGCCAGAAGAACAGTTGAACCAACAACACTGGAGATTGTCAACAAGACAGTTAGTACGGGCAGTACACCATCGACAATGAAAGCTGTTAATAGAACAGGCGAAGAAATAACATTAGAGGCCACCACGACGTTAGGTAGTACGGCCAGTACACCAACAACCCTGAAAAATGCTAATAGAACGGTTGGTGAACCAACAACAATGGTAGCCGTCAATATAACAGGAAGTACTAAGAACACACCAACATCAAATCTGAGTGAAACTGTTAATTCGGATTCCACATCTACTGTAACTAGAATCGCATCAACGGCTATCACATCGGTGTCTTCTGACATTCATGTTACATCAACCAGCTTCTTACCTTCTACGCCAAAGACACCACGTACTTCAACGAACGGCATGAAAGCTGGTACCGACTCGTTAACGACAGGAGGCATCACAGAAAGACACAAGACAACAGTTCAAAATGTCAGCGAATCAACAGAACAACAGGTCAGCAAAAACGAACAGGTATCTCTGGGTGAAATAAACATTACGACAGGATTTGTTACAAGCAGAGTGACATCGGTTACAGAACCCAAAGACAATAGAACGACAACAGTGGAGAAATCTACACAATCTGTAAATACCTCTCAAAACACTGACCGGACCACGACAGACCCGCAATCTTCTGCTGACTCAATCGTCCAGATCAGACACCAGATTGGTGATGAGGATGACGACACCTATTGGCCAATCGCAATTGCTGTTACAGTCGGCGTACCCGTCATCATCGTGTTCGCCGTCACCATAACCGTCCTTAACCGCAAGAGGTTAGAGCGTCCAAATCGCTTAGCCACTTCAGCTTTCTTTTCGTGAGCTATTTTCGTTTTGCTTAGAAGGTATGGCGATAAGCTGGTAGATGCCAAAGCTAGAATTCCTCTTAGATCAACATTGGTAACTAGCAATACGTATTACAATGTAAATACACAGGGACATGTACAGATACTTAGTTTTTACTAAGCATTTAAGCACATAGACTCGGGAGCGATGTTTAGAAACAGAGGAGTACCCAGTTTTGATAAAATATTAGCCATTTCCCCCTAATATATGCAAAGCTAACAGAAATTCAAATAAATACAACAATTTATATTATTTAAAAAAATACTCTGTATCGATTCAAGTCCCTGTGCTATTTCCCCGTGTCCCTGTTGGCCTATCTTAACCCTTTCACCATTGTAGACCATAATGGACTCATCCAGATGAATGTAATGCAGAGTCTACTCAAGTTACCTAGATGTGAAAGAGTTAACTGTACAGTCTCTATGCTGACCTTAGCCTACCGTTCATTCTGCATCATCAGCTTATCCCTGCTCTATCGACCAAAATGTAAAGATAATGACTCTAACAATAAATGATGATAGTCTATATAAAAAGTAAGTAAGCTTGCAGTCATATTAATTGTTGAGACTTTCATATTGACACTGTAGACTTTCAGATGGACTAAGTTAATTGTCGTTTGAAAAACGACTTTCGTATTATAGTTTAAACTATAATACAATGTATTAATAGTATTGACATGTAAACAAACTTTCGTACGAATCGTGTAAAATATCGCATTGGCGATATAAAATTTTATATTGAAAGTGCAGATTTTATATTGATATTGTATTAAACAGTGCAATAATTCGTGATTTAAGTATTGGAGATGTTATAATTAGAATTGACTTTAGTATTGGAGATATAATAATTCGCATTGACTTTAGAAATGGAAATGTAATAATTCGTATTGAGTGTAGTCTTAGAAATGTAATAATTCGAATTGACTTAAGTATTGTAAATATAATAATTCGTTTTGACTGTAGATTTGGAGATGTAAGAATTCGTATTGACTGTAGTATTGGAGATGAAATAATTCGTATTGACTTTAGTATTGGAGATGCAATAATTCGTATTGACTGTAGTATTGGAGATGTAATAATTCGTATTGACTGTAGTATTGGAGATGTAATAATTCGTATTGACTGTAGTATTGGAGATGTAATAATTCGTATTGACTGTAGTATTGGAGATGTAATAATTCGTATTGACTGTAGTATTGGAGATGTAATAATTCGTATTGACTGTAGTATTGGAGATGTAATAATTCGTATTGACTGTAGTATTGGAGATGTAATAATTCGTATTGACTGTAGTATTGGAGATGTAATAATTCGTATTGACTGTAGTATTGGAGATGTAATAATTCGTATTGACTGTAGTATTGGAGATGTAATAATTCGTATTGACTGTAGTATTGGAGATGTAATAATTCGTATTGACTGTAGTATTGGAGATGTAATAATTCGTATTGACTGTAGTATTGGAGATGTAATAATTCGTATTGACTGTAGTATTGGAGATGTAATAATTCGTATTGACTGTAGTATTGGAGATGTAATAATTCGTATTGACTGTAGTATTGGAGATGTAATAATTCGTATTGACTGTAGTATTGGAGATGTAATAATTCGTATTGACTGTAGTATTGGAGATGTAATAATTCGTATTGACTGTAGTATTGGAGATGTAATAATTCGTATTGACTGTAGTATTGGAGATGTAATAATTCGTATTGACTGTAGTATTGGAGATGTAATAATTCGTATTGACTGTAGTATTGGAGATGTAATAATTCGTATTGACTGTAGTATTGGAGATGTAATAATTCGTATTGACTGTAGTATTGGAGATGTAATAATTCGTATTGACTGTAGTATTGGAGATGTAATAATTCGTATTGACTGTAGTATTGGAGATGTAATAATTCGTATTGACTGTAGTATTGGAGATGTAATAATTCGTATTGACTGTAGTATTGGAGATGTAATAATTCGTATTGACTGTAGTATTGGAGATGTAATAATTCGTATTGACTGTAGTATTGGAGATGTAATAATTCGTATTGACTGTAGTATTGGAGATGTAATAATTCGTATTGACTGTAGTATTGGAGATGTAATAATTCGTATTGACTGTAGTATTGGAGATGTAATAATTCGTATTGACTGTAGTATTGGAGATGTAATAATTCGTATTGACTGTAGTATTGGAGATGTAATAATTCGTATTGACTGTAGTATTGGAGATGTAATAATTCGTATTGACTGTAGTATTGGAGATGTAATAATTCGTATTGACTGTAGTATTGGAGATGTAATAATTCGTATTGACTGTAGTATTGGAGATGTAATAATTCGTATTGACTGTAGTATTGGAGATGTAATAATTCGTATTGACTGTAGTATTGGAGATGTAATAATTCGTATTGACTGTAGTATTGGAGATGTAATAATTCGTATTGACTGTAGTATTGGAGATGTAATAATTCGTATTGACTGTAGTATTGGAGATGTAATAATTCGTATTGACTGTAGTATTGGAGATGTAATAATTCGTATTGACTGTAGTATTGGAGATGTAATAATTCGTATTGACTGTAGTATTGGAGATGTAATAATTCGTATTGACTGTAGTATTGGAGATGTAATAATTCGTATTGACTGTAGTATTGGAGATGTAATAATTCGTATTGACTGTAGTATTGGAGATGTAATAATTCGTATTGACTGTAGTATTGGAGATGTAATAATTCGTATTGACTGTAGTATTGGAGATGTAATAATTCGTATTGACTGTAGTATTGGAGATGTAATAATTCGTATTGACTTTAGCATTGGAGATGTAATAATTCGTATTGACTGTAGTATTGGAGATGTAATAATTCGTGTTGACTGTAGTATTGGAGATGTAATAATTCGTATGTATTGACTGTAGTATTGCAGAGGTAATAATTCGCATTGACTGTAGTATTGGAGATGTT